GTGAATGGCACCTGCTCCTCAGCAAGCCAATGAGAGCAAGGAGCAGCTGGCAGAGTCAGAAGAGGGAGTGCTGTTATAGCAAAGCCATGTTTGTCCCCACTAGAACCCACGTATTGTATCCGGCTCATTAGGGAAGTTCCAGCTCTTCCACCAACAGGACATGGGAGCAAGGACGGCAGCCCAGCAGTGGGGGGACACTCACTCATGATTTGACACTGCTCCAGGGAGGAGCTGGGGGTTCGGCATAAGCTGGCAACCATGGGTGGGGAAAGGATTCCAGGAGGGGACACTGGCGTGGATGACAATTGGAGCTGCTGTTATTTCGGGTCCCTCGCAACCCTGAGGCCTACATCCCATGGAGAAGGTACCTTGACCTCCTCACCTCATGTCCTCGAGCTTCCCCAGGGACAGAGTAGGGGAGCATCTCACAAGAATAGAAGAGCAAGCCGTCCTCTGTAGATACAACATTCACTAACCAGCTACTGTGTCCTGGGCACCCGGCTTACCGCAATGAGTGACCCACAGGACTTACCCTCAAGGAACTTGGAGACGCTGGATGGCCCGACTCTTGCAGTGATTACAACCCTGGGTTAAAAGTGTCTGATGAAGGGAGAGTGGGGGCAAGGCAGAAAGTGCCACACGAACTCAGAGACAAAAAAGTACCTAACACTTGCGGGGGGGGGGGGAGGGCAGTGAATGTGACTTTAAACTTGGGCCCTGAAGGAGGACAGGGGTCTGCCAGGTCGAGAGGAGGTGGGTCCTCCAGGCTGTGGGAATGGCCTGAGAGAAAGCAAGTCATCCTGGTAGGGCAGACTGAGTCGGGGACCAGCGACCAGGCAGCACATTGTGACCCAGCACAGAGTGTTAGGCGATAATGCTGGAGCGAGCTGGGGCCGACTGCAGCAGGAGAAGGCTTGGCAGGGTTCTCAATAGGGGGCTGATGGCAGTCTGATGACGACTGAGATTTACAGAGTGGCTAGGAGAAAGCAGAGCCTGCCTGGGGGGGTTCAGCCCTACGGTGCCAGCCTCAGTCTATGGCCCTGTGGACCCCAGGCAAGTGCTACTGCTCCTCTCGCAGCTTCCATGCCCTCTGGAGTGCCCTCTGGGGTACACACTGGGAGTTGGGATAGGTCGCTGAGGACTTGCGTTGCCATTCTGACCCTTCCCTAAGGGTGCAGCACACAAGTGCCTAAGCTCCCTCCTGCAGCTCCGCCCTGCTTCTCAGGCAGCCCCACCCTCATCTCCTCCTCCCCAGTTACTGCACTAGCTCCTCCCCAAGTTTTTCTCACAGTCCCCCCCTGCTCAACTCACAGCTCCACCCAGCTCCTCCTTTCATAGCTCAGTGCAAGCAGCTTCTCCCCAGATTCTTTCCACAGGGGGGCCCTGCTCCACCTGCAGCCCCACCCCAGATCCTCCTCCTGTGGCTCCGCCCTGCTCCACACCTGGCCCCCCACAGCCCTGCCCTCACATCCTCCTCCCACAGCCCCACCCCTCAACTTCTCCCCCAGGCACTGGGGGTTGGGATAGGTCGCTGAGGACTTGGGTTGCCATTCTGACCCTTCCCTTAGGGTGCAGCACAAAAGTGCCTAAGCTCTCTCCTGCTGCTCCGCCCCAGCTCCTCCACCCCCCACTCTGTACTACCTCCTTCAACACGTCTTTCCCCTTCCCCTAGCTCAACCCTCCTCTCTCTTTGCTTGTTCCTCCTCCAGCTCCACACCCACCCCCTTCTCCCCAGTTACTGCACTAGCTCCTCCCCAAGTTTTTCTCCCAGCCCTGTCCAGCTCACCTCGCAGCTCCGCCCAGCTCCTCCTTCTACAGCTCTTGTATGGTCAGCTCCTCCTCTAAATCTTTCCACAGACGTGCTCTGCTTCTGCAGCTCTGCTCCAGCTACTCCTTCCCCAGCTCTTTTTAGCAGCGCAGCTTACCTCGCAGCTCTGTCTGAGCTCCTCCTTGTACAGCTCCTGTACAGTCAGCTCCTGCCCCAAACCTTTCCACAGGGGGGCGCTGTTTCACCTGCAGCCCCGCCCCCAGTTCCTCCTCCTGCAGCCCCTCCCCCAGCTCCTCCGGCAGCTCCGCCCCAACTCCTCCCACCCAGTTACTGCACTAGCTCCTCCCCAAGTTCTCACAGCTCCCTCCTGCTCACCCCGCAGCCCAGCCCCTAGATCCTCCTCCCCTCAACTCTGTACTACCTCCTTCAACAGGCCTTTCCCCATCTCCTAGCTCCACCCTCCTCTCAGTTTGCCCATCCCTCCTCCAGCTCCCTCCTGCTCACCCTGCAGCCCCGCCCCAGATCCTCCTCCTGTGGCTCCGCCCCCAGCTCTTTCGTGCAGCCCCGCCCTGCTCCTCACCTGCCCCCCCACAGCCCCTCCCCTACCTTCTTCCCAAGTCCTTGTCCTGCTCCTCCCCCAGCACGTTCCCAGGCCCCGCCCTCAACTCCTCCCGAGCTTATTCATATGGCCCTAGTCCTGCTCTTCCTGCAGTTCCTTCTTCATCTCCTCCCCCAGCTCTTGTGCACAGCTCTGCCCCAGCTCCTCTCTCAGCTTTTCCCACAGCTCTGCACTGGCTTCCCCCACACTCTTTCTCACAAGCCTTCTTCTCCTGCACAGCTGCTCCCCCAGCTCGTTCCACTGACCTGCCCTGCTCCTCCCCCTGCGGCTCTCAGCTCTTCATCACAAGTCTCCCTGCTCCTGCAGCAGCTGCTCCTCCACCTTGGTCCAAAGGGAACTTCTCTTAGTTCAGGCCCCCCAAAGGCAGGCCCCACAGCATGGACCTGGATGAAGAGGGTGTTGGGAAAATATAAGAAAATGGTCAGGGCCCCTCAGATGTTCAGAATCTTGCTGAGCATTTGATATAAATATCCACGTGCACCCAGGTTATTTAATGTAATTGTGTATGGGCACCGAGGTGTCCTGGGTCATGGACTTAAGTTTAAAGGACTAACGGATCTGACACATGCTGCCCCCACCCCTCGGAATGCCCTGAGAGGCCACTACGGTGGCTGCTCCTAGCTATGAATAAAGCCTATTAATTTTTTACCCGTGGCTCCCAGAATTTTTCCTATTACCGGCTTGTGGACCTGCGTGTGAGGGGTTTAAGACCCAGTCTATACAACGGGCTTGAAGAGTAGTGAACCCTAAGCCCTAGCTTGACAGAGGGATATTTGGAAGTGATTCCAGGAAGTCCAGTGAAGAAGTAGGGTGGTGGGAGACGGGGACAGTGGTGACGATTGTGGGCAGCCGGGTTTGTTGCATTGGGGCCTGGGATGGGGGGTGAGTAGTTATCTACTGGCTGCTGGCTCTGCTGGCTAACCTTTGCTCTTGGGCCTTCAGACAGGCAGAGCACATCATTGTTCTGGGAACACCCTCAGGCACGGGCCACAGAAAGGATCTCACTTTGTCCCATCAGCGAACATGGCTGGCTAGCTGGTGTCTGCCACCAGTGGCCTGCCTGCAGGTTCCTAGGCTCGCCACGCACCCAGGAGCTGGGAGATGAACACCTCCCAGACACGCAAGAACACAGTCAGGACTCAGGACTCAGGCTCGAGGCTGGCATCGCAGAGGGCATTGTGAGCACCTTCAGAGCTGGATGGGGCAGAGACAGGCCTGCCCCGAGAGAGACACACGCATGAACCGAATGATCCACCGGCAGGGGGCTGTGGGGCTGGGAACTCATGCAGGGCTGGCCAGAGGCCGCCCTATCCTGTCCCCTCCTCCCTCCAGCGTCTCACAGCCTCCCTGTTTCTAACTGTGTGTACCAGCGAGTGCGCTGCTCCACACACACCGGCCCCACCTCGACACTTGGGTCATGAACTCACCGAGACCACAGTTTTTGCCCGCCCAGCTCTGTGGGACACGGGATTCGTGCCCCTCCCCCTCAAGACTACCCTGCGACAGTGTGAGGGGCGGTGTCATTTTTCTCTTCCAGCGTGCTCAGCTGTAAGACCATGGCCCACTTACTGAACTGATTTTCTGCCCTGCTGGCCGATTCATCATGTGGTCCTTAACACAGACAGGGGAGGAGGTGCCCACTGCCTGATCTAGCGAAACCAAGCCCTTAGTGAGGTGCACGAGTGTGTTTCCCATAAGACTGGCCCTGCTAGCTCTTCTTGGTCTCTAGTGCTGGCTGAATACAAGACCTTCATGGTACCACTAGCCAGCCTTGCTGTCTTATGCTTAGTGACCTTTCCTCCTTATCTCCCTTGTCCTTGGGCAGGGGAAGAAGCTGAGACAAGTAGAAGAGTGTTTCCTCCTCAGGCCACAA